GAAATAATAAACATTAAATAAAAAAGACAAAATCGGTCAAAATATCGCAATTCTTTTATTTTAATTAATTCAATTATTTCTCTTCTTTTGTTTTTTTTTTAACTCCGTGAAATGAACTGATTTTATGAATTAATACATTTATTTGTAATTTTTTATGGAATCGCCATCGGCATCGGCATCGGCCGATTCTTTCCCCATAAGCCGATTAATCGGCATCGGCATCGGTACCTGAAAAAAAATTGGAATCGGTCGGACTCTAATTTGAAGTACTCCTACTGGTATCCTGCGTTACAAATGAGGATAGAGTCCGCTTTAATTACGAGCCCTGTCGGACCGGAGATCCTACCTCCTAAGAGTTTTATAAACAAATTGCATTGCTATGGCTAAATTTTGATGATAACACTGTAAGGTCACTAAAATTACAAAAAAAACGCCGAGACATGTAAATTAATTAATTTTGGGTAGTAGGTTACGGATCTGTATGCCGTTTTTCTAGATAAGGTCATTTAGTCGTTATTTTCATTTTAAGTTTGCATTGCAAATGAAAACAAGTAAAGAAGTATAAGTTCGGGCGAAACCGAACTTTATATACCCGGCGCACGTATTAAATATCGTTTTTTCACCTTTCAGTAAACTGCATGATAAGCAAGAGTATTTTTGCCGATGTCAAACAGTTTCGATATGCTATGAGATATTGAAATAATTAGAGTAAATTTGGTGGAAATTGATAAGGGGGCTATCAATATACACTTATGTATGTAGGCGTAAGTGGGCGGTGCCACGTCCATTTTCACAAAAATTTCCCTAAGTAGCATTTTGTGCTGAGAGGTCATCGTATATATCGATTTTGTGTAAATTAACTTAAATAGTTACTAATTTATCGCAGTTTTCGTATTTCGGTAAATTACCGTTATATGGGAGGTGGGCGTGATTATCTGATTTCAAAAATGTTCAAAGGGTTTCTTAGGAAGGCTCTAAGTAATGTTCGTACAGAGTTTGGTGGGGATTGGTGAAGGGATTACAGAGATACACATTTCATCTTAAGTGGGCGGTGCCATGCCTATTTTCAAAAAATTTCATAACTGTTATTTTATGCCAAAATTCTACTTAGCGTACCAACTTTCAACAATTTGGATCCAGTATTTACAGAAATATCGCTGGAGGTGGGCGTGGTTGATGTCGCCCCTTTTCAATCCCAACCTACACAGAGAAAATGATTCAGGTAAAACCCATGTATTCAAAACAAAGTGTAAAACAAACATTTTTGGAACAAGTTTACTTCGTACAAAATTAAAAATACNGTTCGGAGTCGGCGTAAAACTGTAGGTCCCTCCACTTTTGTGACAACATCAAGACGCACGCCACAAATCGGAGGAGAAGCTCAGCCAAACACTAACATATGTGTAAGCGTCAATCTATTATTATTATTACACAGAGAAAATGATTCAGGTAAAACCCATGTATTCAAAACAAATTGTAAAACAAACATTTTTGGAACAAGTTTACTTCATACAAAATTAAAAATACATTACTTGTATAACAGACTTTAAAACGTAATCTTCGCAAAATAAGAACGAACATTATATCATATTTTGTCTTTTGACTGAGGAGAACATTTGATATGAAAAAAAATAGCGCCAAAATGTGCTTTTTTAAAGCTAAAATGAAACGTTTTAGAATATTGTTCCTACAAATTGTAGTGCGACAAAATTTCCAACCAGAAAACTAAAACGAAACACTTTTAAAAAAAACATGAAAATTTCGTTTCAGTCAAATAAACATGAGAATGGTTTAAAACGAAAACGTATAGTATTAGAATTTTCAAAGCAACTTATAAATCTGAAATACTTTTCATCTGTTTGCATTATTTGTCGGAAAAATTGTGTGCAGATGATTCAAGCTACATTCATACATACATAGCAAAAGATGCGGAAATATGATATCGTTACGCCACTTAATGAAAGGAACGTTGCTGATACGGTACCCTTTTTTGATTAGAGAAAAGCTTTGGTAAGACTTGCTTACAAAAACAAATTCTAGTCCGTTATTTAATAATAATTGTAAGTTTTTCTATGTATATTACAGGATCTAACCAGCGTTGATCAAAATTATCAAGGCCCGTGGAGGAAAAGCCAGAATATGTACATATCTTTCAGTTATTAAGCTTTGTAACTAATTAATACATATGTAAGTATGTCTACATATGTACATATATCATTAAATGTATGACAATGTATAGTTTTAAATATCAAATGACTTTGTGTTTTAATCAAAATAGAAATCCAAAATCATATTTGAAAACGCATATTTTGGAATATATGTAAAATAAAAATTTTAGAATCTCATCTGAATATGAGAATTTCCAACTATCAAACGATCGTTTTAAAAAGCGATTTGAAAATGTTCATTTTAAAAACTAAAATATACATTTTAGAATATGAATTGAGGATGTTTTTTTCTCAAAACTAAAATAAATATTGTAGGTGCAAAACCCAGGTCAAAACGTTTTTAAAAGTAAAACGTTCCATACAAATTTGAAAACGTAAATTTCTCTGTGTATATTGAATTTTTGAAGAACAATGATACGCAGTAATTTCTCGCGGAAATACTACTTTTGTTAAGTTATTTAAAGCGGCAAATGAAAAAAATCTTAGACGTGAATTGTTGGTGAAAATGTTGGACCAAAAAGTTTCAATAAACAAAAATTTATTTTGGTTTGGACAGATTTTGAGGGACAGAAAATCGTGCAACTTCTCACGCCGCCGGAGAAAGGGGTAGCAAGTTTCTTAAGGTATGATATTTGTTCCGACCCATCAGGTCAAGAAATCGGACACAACAATGCAATAGTTCAATCGGAGGAAATCCCAGAGGAGCTGGTAGCTTGTGGTAGTGATTTTATCATAATGGCCCCTATTATGAGTTGCATTCGATCTTCGACTGTGGTCGAAAGTGCTGATCGAAGGAATTTGGTATTATGGCGCTCACTCGATGAAGAACAGCGCTAGTTTGAATTTCACTCGTTTAGGTTGTTCACAATAGTATATTTTTCAACGCTTAGAAGCTTTGTTTACAAATCGGGCAAACTAAACGATGTCTGAATTAGGTATCCCCATGAAACTAATACGGCTGTGTAAAATGAAGCTGAGCAATAACATCAGCTCTGTCAGAATAGGTAAGGGCCTTTCCGAACCGTTTGATACCAAACGAGGTTTCAGACAAGGTGACTCTCTTTCGTTTGATTTCTTTAAGCTGATGTTGGAGAAGATAATAAGAGCCACAGAACTGAATCGCTCAGGAACAATACTTTACAAGAGCGTACAATTGCTGGCATATGCCGACGACATCGATATCGGTAAAAGCAAGGGTCTGTTCTGCCTTCTCGGGCTAAGATAGAGAAGCAAAGCGAATGGGTCTGGTGGTGAACGAGGACAAAACGGAGTATCTCCTATCGTAACACAAACAGTCAGAGTATACGCGTATTGGCACACACGTCACTGTCGACAGTTACAAATTTTAAAAATTAGGCGACTTCGTTTATTTGGAAACCAGCATTAACACCAATAATAATGTCGGCCTTGCCAACAAGTGCTACTTTGGACTGAGTGGGCGATTTAGAAGGAAAGTCCTCTCGCCGTACAAAGATCACACTATGAGTTACTCATCATGTCTGTGCTGGTGTATGGAGTGGAGGCATGGACAATGAAAGCATATGATGAAGCGGCTCTTGAAGTTTTCGAGAGAAAGATTCTGCGAAAGATTTACGGACCTTTACGCTTTGGCGATGGCGAATACCGCAAACGATTTAACGGTTAGCTTTACAACGATATAGACATAGGGCAGCGAATTAAAATTCAGCGGCTCCGCTGGCTTGGCTTAGAATGAACCGAAACGTTCCTGCTCTGAAAATATTCAACGCGGACCGCGATGCTGGTAACAGAGGAAACGGAAGGCCTCCTCTGCGTTGGAAAGACCAGGTGGAGAAGGACTTGGCTTCAGTTGGCATTTCCAATTGGCGTCAGTTGGCACAGCAGAGCAATGTCTGGCGTGCTGCAAGTCAAAGTGGAATGCGGATTAGAAATCCGGGATATCAATCAATGGTTCGATCATATGATATAATTAGTGAACTTGTACTTCAGAAGTGAGGGATAAACATTTTTCATAAATTATGAGTTGCATTCGATCTTCGACTGTGGTCGAAAGTGCTGATCGAACGAATTTTCATTTGGTGTTATGGCGCTCATTCGATGAAAAACAGCGCTATTGTGAATTTCGCTCGTTTAGGTTGTTCACA